ACGATAGAATGCTTTTTAAATAATATCACTTTCATAACAATGATAAGTAATAATCAAATAATAACCATAGTACTTAATATTTATTCAGTAATTGTGCTAGGCAACTGTTCTATGCCCTTTACACAGATTAATTAATTCCATCGTTGTTCTAGTTATCTATTGCTTCACAACAAACCACCCTAAAACTTAGTGCTTAAAACAACTAGAGGGGCCGGCTCCATGGTCGAGTGGTTAAGTTTGCACTCTCCGCTGCGGCGGCCCAGGGTTCAGATCCTGGGTGTGGACATGGCACCACTCATCAGGCCACATTGAGGCGGCATCCCACATCCCACAACTAGAAGGACCTGCAACTAGGATATACAACTATGTACGGGGGGGGTTGGGGAGATAAAGCAGGAAAAAAAAAAAAAAGATTGGCAACAGTTGTTAGCCCAGGTGCCAATCTTTAAAAAAAAAAAAAAAACTAGAATAGGGGCCGGGCCCGTGGCCGAGCTGTTAAGTCCGTGTGCTCTGCTGCGGCAGCCCAGAGTTTCGCAGGTTCGGATCCTGGGTGCGGACAGGGTACTGCTCATCCGGCCACATTGAGGCGGCATCCCACATGACAACTAGAAGGATGTGCAATTAAGATATACAACTATGTATTGGGGGTATTTGGGAAGATAAGGCAGGAAAAAAAAAAAACTACAATGTATATTTTGCTCCCAAATCTGCAGCTTGACAGGGCTGAGGGGTTGGGGAAAGTTCATTAATGCTCCACTTGGTGTCAGCTGGGGCAGCTCAAAGTCTGAGAGCTAGTGTGTGAAGCTCGCTCGCTCACATGCCTGTGATTGATGCCAGCTGTGGGCTGCAACTTTCTGTCTGCTCTCCTGTTGTTGCACTCCACACACTGTCTTGCTGTGTGTTTGCTCACACGTCCAATTCTCTGCTGGACTCTGAGCGCCTCCAAAACATAAAACATTTCTTATTTGTCTTTGTATCACCTCTGTTTGGGGCACCATCCACACAGTGGGTGCTCCATAAAATTCATTGAATAATGAACAAATGAGTGAATTCTGATCCTCACTTGTAGAATATTTTCCTTTACCGTATCTTTGTAGGAAACTATCCATCCTTTGTTGGAACACTTCTAGGGACTGGATTTTTACGACTTTGCAAGGCTACAACATTATCAGGAATTTTTTCTTTATTCTTAGCCCAAATCTGTTTTTGTGTAACTTTTACTCTGTGGTCCTAGTCAGGACTCGTAGAACTCCATCAAATTAGTCTAAGCTAACTTCCATAAGACATCCATCCCCTCAGTGATAACTATCAAATCCCATCTAAACCTTCTGTAAGCTCAACACCCCAGTTTCTATCATTGTTCTTCATGGATGTGGTTTCCATGGTTACCTCATTCTTGATTCATTCTTTGATAGTCATTGTGGTTCATAGAGATCGAGGACAAAATGCTTGGAGAAATATTCATGGTGAGCCTGTGGATACAAAGGAATGAAGTGGGATAGAAAACCATTCTGAGACCATCATAAGCAAGTGGGCTATGAAAAGAAGTGCAGGATGGTACTGAGGGGCGAGGACATGGGATGAGACTTGGGGACTCCATCCTGTCATGGATCTTCCTGGATAGGCTGATCCTGGTGAGAAGCAGATGGAGAACATCTGGGAAGGTAATCTGAGGCACTGACTGATTGGAAACGGAAAAGGAAAACAGGAAAAGTGGAGAGCTCTGTAGAAACCAAGTTGCCCACTTGTGTCTTAAAATAGTGTTTCTGGAAGCATAGTTTGCTGATCATCTTCCTAAGAATCTCATAGCCTGCTGGCGAGCATGCAGTCCCTGAGCCCAGCGAATATGTGTTCTTCACAGACTCCAAGGGAATTCTTAAGTACATGGAGAATCTTGTTTTAAGGGCTGGGGTAAGATGGGGACTGCTCATAGTCAGATTTAGAAAAGTGTTTTTCAAATTGTTTCACAAAGCTAAAGAATCTCATGTTTTTCAGAAATTTCTCTGAAATATAAAAAGTCCCAGATCAAGTGTTCAGTCTGTGTGCATTCCATCCCCATCAGTCCTTATCCCAACCCATAAGGGCCTGAAAAACAATAAAAAAGAGCTGCTTTTGTGACAAAATCCTGTCACAATAACCCTTAGAGAAAGGCCTCCTGCCCTGCAATCCCCCACCCCCAGGAAAAAAGCAGTTGAAGAATTCAAACTCATTATACATTCTTTCCATTCTCCATCCTCAGCTTTACTGAAATATTACATCTTTTCCTCTTTTCTACTGATGGATTTTAAGATAGATTTTCCAATGAAGTTTTAGATAAACAATGAATGGAAAGTGTCAAGTATGGTTGTAGCAAATGTAGATTTTTTTGCTTAGAATAAGAGAGAAACTAAAAGGGAATTTATCTAAAAATACGGTTTTTGCTTTTAGCAAAATATTTTAAGAATACTTACTGAATGTCCTGAGGAAATATCAATGCACATTTTTTCTTAAGTTGTAGCAGGTGAAAATCTAACGTTACTACACAAAAATATAAGGACCAATTTTTTACGTGTCAAAAGATTCTTGCTTTAATAAAATGATTTTGCGATAACATTTCTTTGAATAGAAGCCTTTGCCTTTTAGCCTATCTCCCCCAACTATTAAAGCATTTACTTACAGAACAGAGGGAAGGTCAGGGAGAAGTGGCTTCTTTTAATGAGATAGTGCCGATGAGATAGTCTGAAATGAGGAGAAAGCAGTAGTTATAATTTCACCGTAAGTCATCTGAAAGAGAAAAAAATGGATTCAAAGTGGATTCACCTACAGACTTTTAGAAGCACTGCTTGAGAAGAAACACAGACTACAATGCTCACTGACTCCTTAAATACTTATTAAGATTACCTACACTGTGCCAGCTGGGCATAAAGAGGTGGCAGAGACAGGCACAGTCCCTCCTTTCGAGATAGAGCTCTAAAATCACCAGGGCCCAGTGCATTTAATTACAATGGTAATGAATGCTACCAATAAGAAGTATAAAATGCATTGAGAATGAATTTTCATCACTTGAATGTCAAGTTGAAGTTAACCTTCAATGAGGGGATAAATTTAAAAACGGTTTTTCCAACTTTCAGTTTAGACTTACCTCTTTGCTTCAAAATTTTGAGAGTTGTTTGGAAGAGTGATTTTTTAAAACATAAAGTATGTGCCAAAGCCTGGTTATAAGACTAAGACTAAGAGAGGACTTCTTGCTTCCCGGTGGCTTGGCTTCGCTGGTATGGTTTCCAGCAAGCTCCTCTGAGGGCAAGGAAATTCCCATTTATTGAGTGCTGCCTCTGTCGGAGGAATTGGACCCATTTTGCCCAGCAACCCTAAGAAGTGTAGGTCACTGTGCTCCTTTTGCAAAGGAGAAAACTAAGGCTAAGAGAGATGAAATAATTTGTTTCAGGTCAGCAGAGCCTGTCCTTGCCCCTGCACTAAGCTATATAGTGGAGGAGGGGAAAGGGTGACAGATAAAAGGCTAATTTCACTGATAATTAGTCTATTCTTAGTGCAGCTAATGGGTTGAACCAAAGTAATTAGAGCCAACAAAATGCTGCCTTTTTATCAAAAGTAAATGTAGGGTCTGTAGATGAAAGAACAACTTGAGGTTCTTGAGAGAGAAGCAATAGTTGAGATTTTGTGTGCAATATAGTTTGTAATAAAATTAGACTGTACTGAACTGCATGAAAGAGACTGAGCATTGCACTTCAGGCACTTTATGAAGATGTTTGTTTTACCTTTAGCAAAGTTTGTAATAGGTAACGAGGTAAGGTTATAGAGAATTTATTTTGTGAAATCCAAAAAAAAAAAATTGCACAATGTCAATTTACACAAGGACTTAAAGCTTTTGATTTCAAGCAAGAAGTGAAGGGAGGAGCTAAAGTAATCGGATCAGAGAAATCACAGAAAACCAGAATTAAGATTTGTCAAGAAACCGTAATATGGAAAATCAAGATTTGCATCCTCCAGAAGAAGCATTGGTTGTAATAACAGAAAGCAATAACCACCAGTGTTAGGAAATTCTAATCTTAGCTCTGCTACATCTGCCCAATGAGGTCCAGATGCCAGCTACTCAAAAGAGTTTGAAGATTTTATCAAGTCCCAAAGCAGCTGGTGAGAGTCAACATATGATTCATTCTAAATTCAGACCTGCCAGGCCTCATCAACCAAGATGGCCAGCAAGAGGGTGGGAAGCTGGGAGCCGAGAGCTAGGGGCTGCGATGGAGACAGATTGAGATTCACCTTGAGTTTTTATTCTCTACCAAACTGTCACCCTATGTCTTTAATTTGCAGCCCACTTCTCAGTATAAGTAAGGACATGCTAAGGATACATTTGTGTGCATAGAAATATATGTTATATCTTATAAACAATATTATAGATAATATTTAGTGATACTATTCTGTTGACCTGGTTACAAGGCATTCTCTTCAATTTTGGTAGCAAATTATCTTACAAAAGTGTTCCTTTTCTATAATAAACATGTCTGATTTTGCTGAACTCTTCACTGTCCTTTTGTACTACCACCTAATAGCAATGCCTGGCTACTCTTCTCCTTCCTCCGCTGAACATCTCAGTCACCTCCTAACCAAAAGCAAATCTAAGCTCTCATATCACCCACCAAGCAAAATCATATTGTAAAAAGTCCAGACAATTAAAGGAGAAAATTGAGACTAAATTTTATGTAGGACATAACCTACTTTCCTCTGTGCACTTAAGATAATGTAATATTTTTAATTTATTTACTAGATATCGTGTCAACTGTGTTTAGCCTCTAGTTCCTATCAATAAGTAAGAATTCTAGCAATTTACCCAAAATAATAGAATTCTAAATTCTATATAATAAAATTCTAAATAATAGAATCGTAGTTCAATAAAACAATGTGTATATTCTTTTAAATATATGTGGCTTATGTTTATGAATAAATTCAAGTGAGTTTGAGTTTGTAGGTTTAACGTTCTCTTTTCTTTCCTTTTAATGCAGACTCTCCCAATTGCTTTTTCAATCCTCCTTCTACAAAAAACATGGAAGACGTAGCAAAGGGAGATCATTGATGATGGACTTTTAAGATGTCAGCTCCCAAAAAGCAGGAGTCTATATATAATTTTTAAATAAATGCCCACGAAGAATGGTTTTTCAAGATGAGATCAGTCAGAACTCTCTCTATTCAGTATGTAATGATAAATTAATTTAAAATTATTTATCTATTAGGGGGCGCTGGCCCCGTGGCCGAGTGGTTAAGTTCGCGCGCTCCGCTGCAGGCGGCCCAGTGTTTCGTTGGTTCGAATCCTGGGCGTGGACATGGCACTGCTCATCAGACCACGCTGAGGCAGCGTCCCACATGCCACAACTAGAAGGACCCACAATGAAGAATATACAACTATGTACGGGGGGCTTTGGGGAGAAAAAGGGAAAAATAAAATCTTTAAAAAAAAAAAATTATTTATCTATTAGGGGCTGGCCCGGTGGTGCAGCAGTTAAGCGCTCACGTTCCGCTTTGGTAGCCCAGGGTTTGCAGGTTCAAATCCCAGGTGCGGACATGGCACCGCTTAGCAAGCCATGCTGTGGTAGGCATCCCACATATAAAGTAGAGGAAGATGGGCATGGATGTTAGCTCAGGGCCAGTCTTCCTCAGCAAAAAAAAAAAAAGAGGAGGATTGGCAGCAGATGTTAGTTCAGGGCTAATCTTCCTAAAAAAACCCCAAAAATATAAAATTATTTATTGACTTAATACTTGCAGAAAGAATTTTAGGCAGCTTACAAAAATATATAAAACACTCATGACAGGGTTGTAACGACGACGTATAGTGAAAGAAATAAGATAAGGCCACCCATGAGATTAGTGCGTGTGCCTTGAAGTCCTACATACTTATGAGAACATGGGTCTGATCTCTCTGGCAGTGAAGAGAGATGGTCAGTAATGTGATTCACAGGATCTGTGAGGGAGAAATTGGTCTTTTATTCAGGGGTAGCGCAGCCACTCAGACCTGCCTGGGAGGTTGTCACCTCACTTCAGACAGATATGATTGGTTGACTGAGGGGAATCACACTCCGTCAACACTGGGAGAAAACCGTAATCCAAGATCTAACATTCCATGCCATGGCAGCAGAGCTGTAGTAACATTGATGGAGAACATATTTAAAGCAGGTTTCACCAAAACCACAAAAGCAAACACAAAAAACTACTCTCCATAAACACCCATAGAAAGTCTAACTTTGGGGCTGGCCCCGTGGCCGAGTGGTTAAGTTCGCGCGCTCCGCTGCAAGCGGCCCAGTGTTTCGTCAGTTCAAATCCTGGGTGCAGACATGGCACTGCTCATCAAACCACGCTGAGGCAGCGTCCCACATGCCACAACTAGAAGGACCCACAACAAAGAATATACAACTATGTACCAGGGGACTTTGGGGAGAAAAAGGAAAAAAATAAAATCTTAAACAAAAAAAGAAAGTCTAACTTTGAGCAGCACCATCTAGGTTGAGTTGTTTGCCAAAGGTATACCTGCGTAGGCAGGTATCTGAATGAAATCACTTGCCGAATGTAGTTATTAAGTTTAAGTCAATTATATTTTGAGAGTTAGTTACCAAAATGGATGGCTTTGGCTTCGGAATCATTGGCAGTTATTTGCTAGTGTGGCCCCTCTTATCATCTCCCAACAGAACCAGTTCATATGGAATTAAAGAAGACTTAATCGTCTGTCTTCTGTAGTTGAGTACCAGTGCTGAAAGAACGCTCCCCAACACTCTGAGACGGGTACAGAAAGATGTGTGTGGTCACCGGGTATGTTAGTGTTAAACCTGCATTCAGAAGAGATAACGGGGAGAAATTGCAGGCCTGAAGAATGGAGAGACAAGAAGCTGAGGAGGAGAGTTACAATCACAGGCATTGTGTTGGGCTCAATGCTCTGGGACTGTGTGGTGCTTGGTATAACAGATTTTGTGGGGGTGCTATGAAAAAGCTTTTCATCCTCCAAAATAATTAAATAAAAAGGAGGATGCTCTGGAACGCTGCATAACTCTGGGGAATTTGTTCTGGGAATGGAAAACCCTGAAAATAGGACTTTGAATAGGATATGACTTGTGAAATATTGAAGATTTTCTTAAATTCCACTTTAAGGAATTTGCAAAATCCTCAGTCTATAATTTTAAACAATGCATTCAAGTAGGATGGACACATGCCTTTAAGGTTTTTTATTTAAATTGGGAGCATGTGGAGATAAAGTCAGGAATACCCTAATACCATAGGGTAAAGAACTAAAGGAATAGGAAAGAATTCTTCTTTTTACAAAATATCAGACCCAACCAGAATATACCATTGTATATATAAAATGTATGTATATATAAAATTATATGTAACCATTATGTATACCATTGGGTGAAAAGAGAACAGTTGAATATACAGCAGAATTTCTATTTTTGAATATACAAATATATGGTGATGACCTCTGAGTGCTGTAGATGGGAGAATTCCAGAACTTCACTTCTTTATATTTTTTCTTATTTTACTTAGTTTTTCCTATATTTATTTATTTACTTACGTATGTACGTATGTATGTATCAGTGAGCTTGCTTTACTTTTTCATCCTGTAGGAAAAACATTGCCTTTAAAGAATTCAAACAGATAACGTACATGGTTATGTTTTTCCAGTAGTAAAAGTATCATTCCTTGTGCCAAGTATTTTAAACTGTGTCATGTGATGCTCTAGGTCGATTGGTTTCTTAAATGGGCTAAAACCAGATACAGCTTTGTGGGGAAACAAATACTCCTTTGCAGTCCAGCAGGAATTCCCTAAAAGTAGGCTTTTATTCAATAATCTACACAGCCTAAAGTTCAAAGCACTGTGGATAAATAAAAGTCAAAATTTTTTAAATATTAAAAGAAATACTTAAAAAATTAAAAAGAATTATAAATGTTTCATCAGTTTTTTGTTAAAAAGCCTTTTATAAGATTAACTATATACTTTGATTTTAATTTGTTGTATCTCCACAATTTACCCATATGTAGCAATAAGCTTTAGACCATATTCAGGAGTTTACTTACTCAAAAAAAATATATATATTTTTTTCCTTTTGCTCCCAAAGCCTCCCGGTACATAGTTGTGTATTTTTAGTTGTGGGTCCTTCTAGTTGTGGCATGTGGGACGCCACCATCAGCATGGCTTGATGAGCGGTGCCATGTCCGCACTTAGGATTTGAACTGGCAAAATCCTGGGCCGCCGAAGCAGAGCATGCGAACTTAACCACTTGGCCACAGGGCCGGCCCCTACTCAAAAATATTTTGAGGCAGCTATTCCTCAGCCTTCAGTTGTAATTGAAAGAAATTATTTCTCATTATGGTCCCACATCTGCCTCCCACTCATCTCCTAGTTCTAACTTTTGGAGCAAGGCAAATTCTTCTTTCTCTGAATATGTGCTAAGTATTTGAAAATAGCTATTTTATCCTTCCTAAGTTTTCTCTTGTCTAAACCAAAAAGTCCAAATGATGCAACTTTTCTTTTTGAACGAAAATGTAAGACGTTCTATCAATTCCTGCTAAATTTCACTTTATCACTTTCATCAATTAGTTTGCTCCATGAGGATATCCAAATATTTCTTCTGGGATCCAGTGCATTAAACACCTCTCTCAAGTTTATATCTTCCTGCCTTTGAAATACATTGAGAAAATCTTTAAAAATTATAAAAGCAAGAGTCATAATTATTTTCCAGTTTCTGAATAATCAACAAGAGGATAGTGAAGATAAAATTATTGAATCAATCTTTAAAATTTTTCATGTGGACCCATTAGAAATATTTAACTTTTATTTTTAAATGATACATAAAATAGTCATATATATGCACACATCTTTCTATTTTTTAAATATCTGAAATGCATTTTTTCATTCTAATAAGATAATTTAAAGAGCGACAGATGTTATATTGTGCAAAAATATTTCCTGAATAATCAGATAAAGCTCATGAAGTAGAGATGATTTCTTTTCTTGTTACGTTATAAGCACTACTTTGGTTAGTCAGAATAATGAAAGAAATTCAGTTTTCCAGCGATACAAATTTCATCTTAAACAACCAGGCTATATCGTGGCTTTAAAATAAGACCTTCATCTATCTTTAAGTTGTAAAGAGTATATTTTAGGGTTTTACCAAACGATACTAATATATTATTTGCAGAAATAGTTTGGGCTGAATCTTCCTATTTCAAAAAAGCATTTTTTAAATAAGGGGGTCAGGTTAAGTAATCTTTAAGGTCACTTCTAGTTTGTTGTTGCTTTTTTTTAATCCACTAGAAAAATATTCTCTTATCCATTGAATTATACCCTGAGTAGACAGTTGGTGTACTCCATTTTAAAAAATGCTTTTAAATGATTACTGTTCATTTTCCACATGAAAACAATTCTGTTTAGACATGGATAATCCAGCCGTTATCTATGAATGCTTAGTTAAACCTTAGCAAAAGATCAGAAGAATCTGCTAAAACTCCTCAGAAAGAAAACATTTTGATTTTTTTGTTGCTGTTGGATTTTGATTTTGCCCTGTAAGACACACCCCACATAAGCCGGGAACAATATTGCTGAGTTCTAGAATACTCTGCAGCTCTCAGCTTGATGAATGGCAGGAAGGAGAGAGAAGAGACTACAAAAGCTTTGGCCCCCTTCTCTCTTGAAGGCTCTTTCACCAGCACCCCCCTGGCCACACCCTGCCTGTCTGGTTCTCAAGAGAAGCCATCCAGGCCTTCCTCAGGCACTCTGCCACCTTCTGCTTCCAGCTACCACACAGGCCCTCTTTGTCTTCCCCGAATTAATGCTTCTTTGGATCAGAACCTGACACAAAGCCATCAGAGAGTGAGCCAGGGTATTCCACAGCCCCATCTCTCAAATAAACAGTCTGTTTATGTTAATAAACCTCACAGGGATTCTTGAGGCCTCTAGTGTTATGCTTAGGACCTAACATTTCACATTTGCTCCCTTTGAGGAGAGTTGGTGTTGTTGCCCCCTGAAAACTGAAATACAGAGTGATGCATGACTACTTAGCTAGCCGGATCTGCCCAAGCACTGAATCCACCAGGGCCTCCCACCCCAACTGCTCAGATCTGGCCTGGCTCCAGAGAAGCAGGCCTGGATCTGGCTTTCTCAATCTAGCCAGCCCTGGAAGAGAAATCCAGATTTGGGTCAGG